ACACGACCTTGTCCAATGTTGGGTGTTGGATTCTGTATGATACCAGGGGCCCAGACTGCCTGTCATTTCCCCTCTGTGGGGTGATAGGTGATGGAGGGTTGGCCTGGTCCTGCCTGGTAGCTGGGCTTGACTTGATGCTGTGGGTAAGCATCTCTTATAGGGTATAGGACCCCTCCTTTTCTATAGACACCCTAAAACTTGGTAGGGGAAATACCTTGGGGCACAGGCTAGGTGGGCAGAGAGGCCAGAGCACCCCAACCAAACTCCTGACCACTGAAAGGCGCAGCACTCAGGCTGCAGACCCCTGAGCATGCGCGCACCTGGGCCACTTTCCCTTTTGGATCGGGAGGAGATGGAGCCTGGGCATAACTTACCCAAGGCCACAAAGTCTCCCTTGTCTTCACCTTCAGCAAAGTGCCAGGGGCCTGGCAGAGCAGCTCTAGGTAGGTGTAGCCCAACATGTCCACAGGCTAGAATCAAACACACAGGAATGGGGTGAAGGTGACCAGAGGCTGTGCATCAAAGTTCTGGGGTAGGCATACCTGGAGTTCATGCAGAGACTGTCATAGGTAGCAGACAAGTCTGGGAACGTAATCACCTGGCAGTTCTTCAGGGCGTCATGGAACAGAGCTGTACTCCAGCCCTGGGGCCATGACTGGGGTCTGTGCTATCCCAAGAAATCTTTATTAAGAGCCACAGGTGAGGGGTATGCCTGTGACCCATCCCTGTTGGAAGGGATTGATGGTTGGGGCCCAACCTGCATGCTGTGGTCACTAGGAATCTGCCCAGGGACCCAATAGAGACAGGGGTCTGATTTGGATTCTGTATATACCCCCATCCAGCTGGTTGCTGGTGAGTGTCTGCCTCTCTGGGTCTCAGTTGCCCCCAGGGGTAGGTACCAGTGAGCCCCACAGTAACTTGGTTTCAAGGGGGATGGTGTGCCCCAACCTGGCAGTGTGAACCTGTTGTGGGATGAAGTGTGAACCCTTCAAGGGGATGTTCTGAGGGTAAATAAGGCACACAGGGCTTTGTGCTTCCCCCATCCAGCGGTCACAGCTTGCCATAGTAGGATGAATGTCCAGGACTCTAAGTCAGGGGATGTACTACGTGTCCTCTCAGGTGGGGTCTGCATGAGCTCAGAGCTGAGGCTATCAGTGCCCTCCAGGTGTCCAGCATCCTTCAGGGGCTCTGAGTGGAGAACAGGGTGGCCATTGAGGGAGAGGCTCTCAATGAGTGGGTCTGTCCAAAGCCGTCCAGCTGGGCTGCGCCTGGCACAGGGCTGTGAGTGGCGTGCCGGTCAGTGCTGGGTGGGCTAGATTGTAGGCTGATAGGATGGAGAGTCTAGGCCTCTAGTCAGACGCCCAGCAGGGTGGGGGCACGGGGCAGCCTGGGTGTGCCTGTCAGTTTCCAGGCTGGAAAATTGAGCCCTGGGCCACCCTGCCAGGCTACACGAGACACTGGAATGTCCTCCATAGCAGGCCTCTGGGAGCCCCTTCCTGAACCTGTTGTTAACTCCGGAAACAGTTGCTACACAGGGTCACAGCCCAGCATGCTTTGTTGGGAAGGAAGGGAGGTCGAGGTAGCAGGGACCACAGCCACCAGGTCCTCACACTTAGCAGCTCACTGTGCCTGTGTGGTGGGGAGGGGGGAGGGGGGACGAGGGAGGAGGGAACGCAGGGTCTCAGGCCTCCCATAAAAGGGCTCCAGCCCTGTTTTTCCCCTCACTGGCCCCACCTGGGGTACTGGGATTCCCTTTGTACCTTTGTAGAGACCAGTGACTAGGGCTCAGAGAGGGTCTCTAGCTCTAGAGATTGTGTGGTTTCTCCAAACTGGGATCAGGATCCCTCAGTCTCCCCATGACCTCGTCTGTGCTTGCTCTGATCCCTGGATGAAGCTTGGCCAGCTCTGCAGCAGGGACACAACTTTCCTGGAACGGGCGGTAGAGCTGCCTCTCATGCAGGAGAAAATGGAAGGATTACTTAAAGCAACTTGGGAGTCTCCAGAAACAAAATAAAAACTGAAAAGTCATCATTTTAAGCAGGGGAGGCTCCCTAAAATTTGCCATGTGATGGGTGGGTTGTGCACAGTGCTAAATTGAATCAAATTAAGAGAAACATTTTCCAAGCACAAGTAAAATATCTGTTTAATTCGACCATAAAGAGGAAATTAAAAGTAATATTTTGCAGTGGAGTAATTACTGTCTATCTGAAGGCAGTGGGTTTCAGAGAGGTAATAGGCCCGGCAGCCAGGCCTTCAGGGGATAAAATTCTGAACTTGAGGCCAGGATTCCCAGGGGCTTGGGCTCCTGGACATCTGTCTGAGCTGTTGGGTGGCTGGAAGGAGAGACTTGGTCCTGGGAGGGTCCCAGCTGTTCCTCCTGGGCTTTCTTCCCCTCCTCCCCTGGTGAGCTTCATACAGAGGCAGGAAGTTCAGGAAAGCAGTGTTTGCTGGTGGCTGCCCAGGGAGGGGCAGGAGGACCTGGTGGCTGGCTGCAGGGCCTTTGTCTGGTCTGAGGGCCTTGCCTGGAGCAGCAGGTGCTACAGGGCCCCTCCCCCACTTCCCAGAGCCCCTCCCTGGAGCCCGGTGGAGAAGCTGGGCTCTGCCCTAGTCTCCTTGGGCCCCCTGCTGATCCTACAGACCTGGAGGACTTGAATCTCTCTGGAGTGGTTCTCGGTGATCCTGCTGTACAACTCAGTGGTTCTGTTTTTTCTGAACTCCTGTGTGTGCCCCCGGGGCACTGCAGCCTAGCCTGTTGGAGGGGCTTGTCACCCTGGTGGTGCTCTCAGTCCTATATGACCAGGGCTGGAAAAGTGGCCTGAGGTATTAGCTGGCCGACCCATCCGTTTCTTTATCCCTTGGGCAGTGGGGTGGTGAGTACCAAAATGCTGATTTGGCTGCCTCTGCAGAGGTGTTTGTACCCCGACAGTGTCCTGGCCAAGGGTTCAGGCCACCTGGGGGCTTATGCAATAGGGTCTGGGGTGGGGGCACTGTTGCCTGAGATGCCCGGTGCTGACTGCAAGGTGGAGAAGGTGACCGGGCAGCCTTTGACCGTCTTCCCAATGGGGATCTGAACATCATGGGCCACTCCATCTCTACCTCTGGTTCCTGCTCAGTGTCCCAAGGCCCGCATAGGCCTCTTCTGTTTTGATGGCCAGCTGGGTCTTCTCTCCTGCTCCGCCTGGCTGGCTTGGTGGGGGCTGCTGTGTTCTCCTTTTAGTACCTGCCTTGACCTTCTGTTTGGCTCTTCTTCCTGTCTCCTGTTGTAGGCTATGGAGGGGCAAAGGGGGATTCCTCCAGAGGCCTCTGGTCCCTAAGACAGGCAGGCCTGTCCAGAGGCCCCAGAACAAAGGGCAGCTGGGTCCCGGCCTCAGGCTGGAGCTGAGGCTGGGCGGCCCTTTTCAAGTCTGCTAATGGCTGCAGCAGGCCACACTTCCTTCCCCTTTGCAGCCTCCTGCTGAGTGGAAAATCAGTACATGAGAGCCAGACTGGAAACAGGCCTGGCCACCCTCAGTCTGGGGCTGGGTGGGTCCTTGGCTGAGGTCCCCCTCCCCGCACTGCCGTCCCTGGGGGCCTCTCTTGCCTCTGCCTGTGAGCCTGAACCTGATGAATTCCAGGGGCACCAGCTAATGGGGACCCAGTCTGCCAGGCATTTTCCAACTTGGAGACTGTCCAAGCCTTCCAGAGTGGCCCACAAATCACCCAACTGGCACGTTGCTGGCCCGGCAGGCGTTGGTCACCCTTTTGTCTGCCTCAGGCTCTGTAGAAATGGGGCCAAGGAAAAGAGATCTTGGTCATGATGGGGCTTGCCTCTCACAGTGTTGGCTGCCTTAGCCATAGCCCTCAGCACTCTGAACCTCTTAGGCATTGTGGGCACAGATGGCTAGCTCCTAGGCAGGGAACTCAAGGATCATGCCTGGGGTAAATGAGACACCCTTGCAGGGTGCTGGCCTCAGCCTCCTAGTTTGAGAAATAGGTGTGTCTGGAAGGTTGTCGTGACAGGTGAATGTCTGGATTGGAGTTACCTCTTGTAGGTAATCCCTTGGGACCTGAGGGCTAGCTCAGTGCAGGAAGCCAGGCTGGAGTTGGTGAAGCGGGCTCTTATCAGGGAGACACAGCCACAGCTGGGTTAGGCTGGCGTTTGTCTAAGGGGCTATGCTTGGGGCTGGCTCAGACTCAGGCTTCTTCCCTACAGTGCTGTCCCAGGAGGGCAGGGCCAAGCTGGGCAGGGAAGTTGGTTCAGGATGGGTGTTTTGCCCCTAATGAGGTCACTCTGAACCCAGCCCTTCCTGTGTCTCCCTGTGGGAGGTGTGCCCCTGGGGAGGGGTGTTACGCCCCCTCTGGAGAGTGTCGCCCTCCCTCTAGGGAGTGAGGGTGTTATCCTCCCTACCTGCAGCCTGCTTTTGGGTTCCTCTTCTGGCCCATTTCTGGACACCGCCTCTTGGCTTGAGGCCCCTGGGCACCCCCAGCTCAGAGACCGTGAGCCTTGTTCTCCCAGGTCTAGTCAGGGACAAGGACCACTCTGCTTACGGTGGGGACTGCTAAACTGACTCCGACGGACACATTCATAGTAGTGCCACATTTCAGGCCCCACCAGGGCTAACTGGAGGCTACAAAGACAGGGCCGGGATCCCAGCCCCCACCCCATGAGAGTGAGCTGTTTTGAAGAAGGCCTTGGACATTGCTGCTTGTCAGCCAGGCCCTGGACCAGTGCCTTTGCCCACAAGTTGGTTGTCGGGGAGCTACAAACATCTTGTTAGCCGCAAGCCGGCGTGGTTAATGAAGGCAGGGAGGTGGGCGGCTGTCAAGGGCACAGGGAACCTCACTATTAGCTCTGATAATTATTTTCCTGCTGGGCTCACGTGGATGGAATGGTTTGGGCCCTATTAATCAGTTACGGATGGTGCTGTGCTGGCCACAGCGTGAGCTGGGGCGATGGGCTCTCTGTGTTGCTTCCCCTGTACCTGGGCACTGACTGCACCTCTGTTGCTTATGGTTCCCAGGATCCTTGCTTCTCTGCTCTGCTGTTGGACAAGCTTCCTGCACCTGGGGTTCAGCTGGCGTGCCGCCCTGAGGCCGAGAGCCGGTGTGACGTATGCACTACGCACCTGCACCAGCTTACGCGGGAAGCCCTGCGCCTGCTACAGACCCCTGCCAGCCATGAGGACCCTGATACCTCCCGAGGAGGCCTTGTGGCCCCCAGCCCGAGAGACCCACCTGGACCAGTAGGCCTCACAGGGAGGCAGCCCCCAGTGGGACCTGACAGGAGGAAGGCACCAGCTTGGTCACCCGGCCCCAGTGTCCAGGTGTCTGTGGCACCTGCCGGCCTTGGGGGAGCACTGAGCACAGTTACCATCCAGGCCCAGCAGTGCCTGGAGGGTGTTTGGAGCCTCTCCAGGGTCAACAGCTTCCTGCCACCCACCTGCCTGGTGAGTGCTCTGGGTAGGTGGGCTACTGGGTCCCGAATGACTCCCTTCTGGGCTCCTAACTATATCCCTGCAGCTTGGTATTAGTTGGTAGGGCCCTCTGGACCCCAGGAACAGTCACGGGTGGTTTTGTCTAGCCTTGCTGTGGGCTGATGGAGGGGCCCGAGGTTTTCAGATGAGTTCAGACCCTCATTAGGGGTTTGGGTTGGAGGGAGCATCTCCTTAGGAGGAGCCTGCCATGACAGGCCGTCCCGAGGTGCACAACTTAGGTGACATAAACCTGCTCCACAGACAGATGACAGAGCCCAGGCCCACAGTTGCTGGACTGGCAGTTTATAGGTTGAAGAATGTCCTCTTTGTGTCTCCTCCCCTCAGAGCCCACCAGGGAGCCCGGCGGGGGCCGGGCTTTCCTGAAGCTATCCCTGGGTTCCCTGCCCAGGAGTAGCCGTCTTCAGGGCTGGGTCTGGTGCACTGCCTGCCCGCATGTTTGTTAGTTCTCCCCTCTCAGCCTTGCTAGTTGGGGTCTCTCTAATATCTATGTCCCCACTTTTCCATCTGGGACAAGGAGTCCAGGGCGGGGCTTAAGAGATGGGTACAGTTGGCCTAGGGGTTCCCTAGGCTGCTGGAAGGAAGGGTTTGGACTTAGGGAGTGAAGAGGTTAGCTGTGACCAGGCCCTGGGACAGCTTGACCCCAGAAGGGCCCAGCTAGCACTCTGTACATGCCGTCTGACCTAGCCCCTTTCCAGGGGCACCATGCTGAGGACACAGCCGTCTGCTTGTTGAGGACCTAAACTGAGGGCCTATAGTGCCCAGCCCAGGACAGGCAATGTACTTCATGCTGTGGATCTGGGTTCCCCCGGTGACCAGAATGGGAGAGACCCTCTAGGCAGAAGGGGTGGCCAGGTAGAGCCAGGAGGTGTGAGGCACTGATGGGGAGAGAGGCTGGAGAGGGAAGGTGGAGGGGGCAGGGTGGTAGGGCAGTTGTAACTCATGTGTGCATGCCTCCATCTACATGGAAAAGCCCCCGAGTTGCTCCCTGGAGTCCTGAGGGCAGAGGATCTGTGGGTAATCTTGAGGAACCATGCTTCTGTGTGGTATGAGTTATAGGTGTGTATTCTAGGCACACAGCAGCCAACCGGAAGCAGGCCTGGGGGATTGCTCATTCCCTGGTGTGGGCTGGCGGGCCCTCATGCTTCTTCTCTGAACCCAGTGGCATTTCAGGGAGATGGGCAGAAGAGCAGGGAGGGCCCCATACCTGCTGGGCAGTGTTGATACAAGCACCCATGCAGGACAGGCTCCTCCTCCCTGAGGCCTCCTTGAGGTGGGCAAGACTTGTTAGCTGGACTTTGCCCCTTGAATGCCTGCACTGAGAATTCTGTCAGAGTTGGAGCTAGGGGTTGGCTCTAGGGCTGGTCTTGTGAGACCATCTGTCCTTGGGGTCGGACTGTCGTCTTACTGTTCCCGGCATAGCACTCTTCCTTTTGCTCTCCTGAGGGGAAACAACCCCTCTGTCCTCCTGGGACTTTGGCCCAACAGCTAGGCTGCCTAAGGAATGGGCAACAGTGCCCAGGGGTAGGGTGCAGACATCACTGCCTGCTCAGATGAGTTTGATGATTCCTAGAGAAGGTGGCATTGAGCTGGACCCCAAGGGAACCCTAAAGGATATGCTCAGACCTAAGATGCTGGTCCAAAGGTGCCCTTCCTCTCCTTGGTCTAAGTGGCCTCATGGCTAGGCTGACTGTAGCCCTATGTCTGAGCAGACATTGAGTCAGGTCGATGTTGCTGGTCCGTATGATTTGGTGTGGTGATGGGGACTAGGGAGGGTCATTGGCCTATGGCTGGGCAAACTTGACAGAGGCCGACATGCCATAAAATGTGGACATTTAAAGCACCCGCTACTCATTTTATGTGCACATTGATTGTGTCGGAAAGGTGGGAATGGATTTATAATTAGAGAACAGTCCTGGCAATCAATAGGGAGATTATTAGAACCATAAATAGAACTTTAGGCCGCAGATGAGGCGGTGTCCCCTGAAGTAGGGTTTCAATCTCTGGTGATAAAGTCCTGCCAGGATACTCTGGTATTAAATTCTTGTGGAGAGATGAACTGTGAATCTATCATAGATGGGTCAGTGGCCCAGCAAGCTGACCAGGTGGATTGGTCCCTGCAGGTGGGTCAGGCGGGCTGGCCCCTCCATCCTGGGGTGCAGAGTGGAGGGCCAGGGCTGGGCTCAGTGGACTCTTTCATATTGACTGAGGTTAGCAGGGGAATCTGGGGAAGAGTGGCTGTGTCTGGCCAGAGGGTTGGTCCTTAGTGGGGATGAGATGACCTGGGGTTCCAAGGATCCTCTGGACCCATCGGCAAGACCTGGAACATTCTGGGTGCTGTAGCTGAGAGCTGCCCTGATAGCCCCACCTGGATACTGTTGTGGTATGGCCTGCCCTCCTGGCCCCTAGTCCCAGTGCAACAGCCACTGGCCTACAAAGCTTTAATCCATACCACAGTCACGTCACCTCCATGAGCAGAGAGGGCCCTTTCCTGACCATCCTGCCTACCGAGCCTGTTCCCGGGAACTGCTTCCTTCTTTCCAGGCTGTCCGGTGGAGGCACTCTGCTGCTGTGGAAGATGAGGGCTGCCGATTGCAGCTGGATTCAGGGTTTGTCCCTGTCCTGTCTGACTCAAGATGCCGGGCAGTAGTTAGGGCTGCCCCCGATCCCCCCTCCCTGGCTTATTTCCCTTCCCTGGGGGGTGCTGCACATGCAGTCTCCCAGACAATGACCTTGTGGGATATCTCAGTCAGAAGTCCTCATGGAGGCAGAGAAAACCTGCCTCATCTCTCAGCAGAGGCTGTAAGACAGGGCTCTGACTTCCTGACTCCATAGTGAGGCACAGTGGAGGCCTCAGAGAGCCAGGGTTTCCCACTGCTGTGGTAGTTGGGTAGGAGTTGGGGCCCACCAGCCCATACTAGGGAATATGCAAGCACGTTAGGGGTGCTTGCCTGCCTCCTGCTGCCCACCATCCACAGAGACCTTAGATGGATGTTGGAGGATGACGTTCCAGCTGGACTTTGGTGAGGGTCCATGAATTTCCCCTCACTTGTTGCTGGTGCCCTGTGTAGGCATCAGTTTACCCACTCATGCAGTGGGGTGGGTCGGCAGGACAGTCCCTGCTTTCCCGTGAGGCCTTAGTGAAACTACTTTTACAGTGATGTGGGTGGGGATAATTCTCACAGGAGCGGGACTTCTCACCTTGAACTGCCAGGGCTCTGATGGGGCTCTGACATCTTCTGGGTGATAAGGCATGGGGTGGGATGAAGGGGCAGGCAGGTAAACAGGCCTTACTGAGGATCTAGCACTCCCTGCAGAATGCTACCCCCTCAGGAGTGAGGTTGGCCTCAAGTGCAGCTGCAAGCCTCCGAGCTGCTTCTCAGTCCCCTCCAAATAGCACCTGATTAGAATATTTATGGGGGGCGATCCTAGTGGGTGCCGCCCTTCACCTGCCATAACCTTACAGATGTGGAGATCAGGCCTGGAAAGTTGCTGATATGGGCTCATCCTCGGTTCCTACATTGGGTTCCACAGAACCCTGGTGTTCCGCAGGGGCTGTTTGTGCCAGCTGACATGGGGTGAACCTAACCATGCTTTAGGCAGGCTCTTTGGTGTCCAGCCGCTGTGTGGGTACAGGAGTCCGGGTGTGAGCTCATGGAGGCAGGGCTCTGCTGGCTGTGCCTTGGCAGGTGCTCGCCTCACGCTCTCCTCTCTCCATGCTTTTCCTTTCGTTGCCGCTGTGTGCCTCCATCACGCTTTCTGTTTGGCTGTCCACCCACCTCCTCCCCATGTCGTGACCCCCTCCCTCTGCCCCCACCACTGCTCCGTGCTCGCTTTGGGACGGCTTCTTTTGGCATGTCCGGGCTCTGCTTCTGGCAGGAATTGGCAGTGGCCGTCCCGATGGACGGAGCCGTGTCATGGCAGCTGGTGGGACGGTGGAGCCAAGTCACGAGCGGGACTCCCAAGACAGGTCAGTGTGGGGAGGACAGCCTTGCAGGTGGGTCAGTTGGCCAGAGCCCTGGTGCTGCTGGAGATGCCCTGGGGTGGCTGGGCCCTGTGGGAGTGGGTAGAGGGACCACGTGGGGTGTGGGGCAGCAACAGTGGCCCCTGTGACGACTCCAACCCCAGTTCCCTGTGTCTGGCAGTCAGGCAAGGTGTCATCATATGATGGGGCACTGAGCTTGGGCCCCCTAACACTGCCATTACATACTGGTCAGAAGCAACTCTAGGTACCATGCAGCCATGGTCTGGAGAACCCCCCGTAGCCTGTCCAGGGCCTCCTGACCCCAGGCTCTGGCTGCCATGCCCAGTGGGTGCTGAACCAAATCCAGCTCTGCTCTGAAGGACTCAGGCCACAGCTGTCAACCCTGTAGCTTTAAAATTAATTCCTTCTTGGGGCTGGAGAGATTGCTCAGGGGTTAAGAGCACTGGCTGCTCTTGCAAAGGACCTGGGTTCAGTTCCCAGCACCCACATGACAGCTAACAACCATTCATAACTTCAGTTCCAGGGGAAGCCGACACCCTCTTCTGACCTCCGTGGGCATTGCACGACACAGTTGCACGTACACAGATTCAGGCAATACACTTGTACCCACAAAATAAAAATACTAAATAAAGCATTTTAAAAATTAATTTCTTCCTTTGCCACCACACTCAGCTACGGACCTCACATCTTTCAAGGGAAATTTAGTGATTCAAAAAGAATTCATGGTTGATGTGAGGGAATGACTTGGAGAAGAGGGGCCTGGCCAGCCTGGGTTCTGAGGAAATGCTCAGGAGTGCCTGCCCTGTACACTTACAGGCAGGTGACCCGTAGGGGGTTTCATACAATGTCTGGTGAGCTGTTCTGGGTGTGCCCTTCTGCTCCAGGCCTGCCCTTTTCTGCTGTTGACTTTTCCTTCTTGCAGTGCTGGGGGAGTGGATGCTGCTGGGGACCAGGAGGAGGGTGCTGGGCTTGCACTGGCTCGAGGCTTAGACTGGGCTTTGGACTTGCATGGACAGAGTTCTGCTCTATCACTCAAGAGGGGGTTGGAAGCTGAGGCTCACAAGGGACTGAGCAGGGTGAGGCGTTCCCTGTGGCTTGTCCTGCTGAGGTGTTGACACTTGGCCTTAGGGCTATATCCTTTGAGAGACCCTGAGGACCAAGCTCCTCAGGCCCAGGGTTACCAGACCAGGTCTGTGTCCCGGAAGCCCAGGGATCCCAGCCTTCTGCCAGTGGGGACACAGGTCATGTTGGTCGGGATGTTGACCTCCCCATTCAGGTGGAGTGGAGTGGGGTGCCCTGAAGGGTGAGGAGCCTGGGGCTCTCCAGGAAGAGATCAACTACTTGCCCCGCCCTGCTACGGCTTGGGTCCTCTCCACTCTAGAGCCTGAGGTGGGTTTGCAGAAGCTGTCCTGGGAGCATTTAATTACATTTGTGCTTCATGATGAGTCTGTCTTCCTTTCTAGAATTTATTTTAGCTAATTAGTTGGAAATGCCAGAGTTGTATTTCAGACAGTGGAATGTCATACGTTATCATGTGGGGGACAATTAGTGCTCGTGCCAAATATTTATTGTGGTTTCTTGTCTAATTACTCCTGTGGATGGTCCCAGATGGCCCAAGGGGTGAGGGGTAGGGTCTGTCTGCCTGACCTCTGTGGTCACTACAGAACAGGACGAGGAGGGCTCCACAGTCAGTCCCTTGTAGGGTTGACCTTTCCCTCTGTGGCTGAGCAGACCTGGCATGCCCTGGGATGGGGACATGGGTCCTTACAGCTTGCCTTGGAGGCTAGGCCTTCCCTGCTGGGTCTCAGACTCCCAGGGTCTTCCCAATCACACAGGCAGGGATTTACAAGTGTGGAGGGCCTAGGGTGTGAAGTGAAGCCTCCAGGGTGCTCAGCCTGGGGCAGTAGTTAAACTGTGAGCCTCCAGGGTGCTGTGTTCAGCCTGGGGCAGTGGCTCTCCCTCTGTCCCTTATCTGTTCCTCACTTGAATCTCTCCTTCCCTCCAGGCTGAGGCAGCAGTGGCTGCTGTGGCCGTGGCTGACACAGTTCGAGACTGTCCCCCCACAGCAGGCCCTGATGGTATGTCCAAGGCATGGGGCCGTGGGGCAGCGTGTACATCGGCACTGGTTACCCCGGCCCCGGGCACCTCGGCAGGAGGCTCCACAGGCCCGTCGGCTGCAGCCTCTTTCTTTATACGGTACGTCTTCAGGATCCTGCAGGGAACAGAATGTTGGGGAATGGGGATCCGCAGTTCCCTGGCCCCTGGTGGCCTGTGGGCTAGTTTTAGGAGGACTGTTGTCTCATCCGCGGCCCCGTCAGTCAATCAGGAGGTGGGGCTGTAGGGGCACAGCACTGAGCAGCTCATCTCATGCCCTGACTGGCCTCCTGGGTCCCTGTCTGGGCTCAGATACCTAGAAGTTACAGGCCATTCCCCTACTCCCCCCATGCCACGCTTGAAGACATGGGCTGGCATGGACGTCGTGGTCCGGCCAGAGAGAACAGTATGTTCCAAGGGAGGAGATGGGAATAGAGCATTTTCCCCTATCTGGCCATGGGTGGGTGGGGAGCAGTCTTTAGCCTCAGCCCTGAGGCAGAGCCCTTGGTTCTGCAGACCCAAGACTAGAGTCCTACCCTCACCCGGCAGCCCAAGGGACAGGGATTACAGGATGTAATCGCGGTAATGAGAGGTAATGGTAGCCAGCTGCGGGTCACTGTCCCATTAGCGGCCCGCATGGGCGCTGATAAGCTTGTCTGTATTATGCCGGGCAGCGCGTAGAGGACGTCTTATCAGCCCTGGTCCGGGGGGACTGCAGAGCCTGATGGGGGCATGACGGGACATGTGATTAGGGCATTGTCGGAGCTGGCTGATGAACGCTGTTGTACTGTGCCCTACTGTCTCCTGTGACTGATGTGGCCTCAACCACCACCCCAATTAGGTACAGAGAACCGAGCTGGGACTCTGCAGCTGGGGATGGGTGGGAGTCCTTCTCGGCCTTCTCTCGAGCCCCATGTGCTAGTGGCATTCAGGGGGTTCCTGGGGGGGGGTGCTGGGCATGAGGGGCAGAGCTTGTAGCTGGCCATGTCCCCGCCCTGTTCAGTTCTGATTTCAAGGGCCTCTGCTTTGAGGATTTGGTGGTCTGTGAGGCAGCCATGCTACTGAGGTGGTGCTTGACAGCAGAATTTGAATACCTTCTGGAAAAAGAGATTTTTACGGGGCCACTGGTCTTGAGTCTGGGGGCTACCCAGCACCCTGATCCTGAGGGCCCTGGTACCTGAGTGTGTGGTGGGCGTGCCCCCCACCACTGGGTCATTAACCACCCCATTTTAGTAGCAGGCTCCTGTCAGCCCTTTGTCTCAGCCAGGCTGCTGAGACTCCTCTGCCTGAGCAACACCCTGACCTTGGAAAGTTACCATGGAAACAAAGAAACAAGTGGACTTGGGCGGGGGCAAGAGGCTGGTTTCCCCAGGAGGAGCAGTGCCGACTGCCTGTACTTCTAGCCTGTCAACCATTCTGGATCTCAGTGGGTTCCTGAAGGAAGTGTGTGTGTGTGTGGGGGGGGTGTCTCCACAGGTGATGTCCCTGCGGGGCTGGCATTACTGGTGGGAGACTCATACCAGTGAACTTCGAAACTCTGCACCCACTGCCTGGCATTGTGGATGGAGGACAGAGAGAGGTTCAGACTGAGGGAAGGGCTTGCCCAGGGCGCACCAGGAGGCAATGGAACCTTGGCCCTCACCGCATGGCCTGTGGCATGTGTTGACCGTGTGCTGTTTCCACTTGTATTCTCCCTGAACTTGGAGGGAACATAGTGACCCTTGACCATACCTGTCCCCAGGAGGTCTGCACATGGGGGAGGGGTGCATCTTGAATCTGTGAAGGTGGTCTTGGATGGCAACATAGGGTCGATGAGAGGCCAGGGAGGACAGAGAGGTGTCCATGTGGACTCTGGGAGTGGGCTTCAAGGGCCTAAGAGTGATGGGTACATTTATTCCAATGACACAGAACAGGGCGGGCTCTGTAGTTTGGGTTCTTGAGTCTGGATGCTGCCATCCCCTGTTGCCCCAGGCTGGATACCAGCTTCAGGACTTTTCCTCAGCCACTTCTGGGCACCCTGTCTCCATATGGACTCCACTGTAGTCTCGAGGGTGCTTGAGAGCCCAGCGGGCAGAACAATATCCCCTCAGCTGGGCCTGAGTGGTTGGGTACTGGGTGCATGGCCCGAGTCAGAACTTCGAGGTCAGACTGTGGTGATTGGGTTTTCTTCGAAGGTTGCTGTGAGCGTGACACCCATGCTCTGAGCCCTCCCCCCATGCTCTGAGCCCTCCCCCCATGCTCTGAGCCCTCCCCCCATGCTCTGAGCCCTCCCCCCATGCTCTGAGCCCTCCCGTGGCTGTGCATCTGTGTGTCCTCCTCCAGCTCTGGGAGTGCTCGTCTTCACCAGTGTGTAGCCTCCCTTCTCTGACATGCTCAGAGCTCTGAGGGCTCTGAGCACTGCCCACCAGCCTAGCTGTCCTGCCTTTGGTAGTGGGTGGGCTACCTCCAGGCCTCAGAATCTAGATGTCTTAGGAACACCTGCTGGGGGAGGCGTCTTCCAGGTAGGCTTCAGGCAGGGAGCGTGGTGGGGCTTCATTCTGACACTCATCTGAGTGTCTTTCTGGGTGAACATCTGAGCCCAACGGGAAGAGGTACAAAGGCTCCGACGCTGGGGCTGGGTCCCTGGCTAGGAGGTCTTGACAGAGCAGTCTCTCACCTGCTCTGGCCTCCAGGTAAGGTGTGGTGATGTGGCTCGGGCCTGGGAGGTTTTAGGCAGCAGCTGCCGCCAGCCGAGGTCTTGAGCCCCCTTAGCTGCCTTATAGGACCCCCTGAGGAGCTCCCGTGAGGCAGTCCTGTGGAGGCTTGGTGTGCGGCTTTGCCCTGCCTACCCAACTCAGCCCAGGTGGGCGCTCTGGGTTGGTGGGAACTGATCCGGGGCACAGACCGTCTTCTCAGGGTTCTCAGACACCCACAGACCTCTAAGTCCCTCCGTTTGGAAAAGGTGAGTTTTCTTTGTGAAAAGGAAAAGTATTTTTCTTTCTAGACTCATGAATCCTTGTCCAGAGACAGTGATGGCTCTGGGGCTGCTGTTCAGACTGGCATTTATGAACTGGCTAATTCATGCCCTCAGTCAGGCGTGTGCCAGGCTTCCTGTGAGCTTGGGCTTGGCTTGTATAGCTAGCTGTACACTCCAGAGCCCCGGGTGAGAATAGTACCACAGTAGCAGGAGGCTCTGAGCTGGGGTCCACCTTAGGGCATCAGGACAGGCTTTCCTGGAGGTGGTACTCAGCCTTTCTTAGTCTTCCCTGCAGGGGGAGACTGCTCAGACTTGCCCACTATTCCCTTCAGGACCCCCCCCCCCAAGGCTGCCACTCCCCAGCAGGGCTGAGGTCTTTGGTCCTGGGTTTGGTACCCTATCTTCTCTTAGCCTTGGTGGGGCCCATGCTTTCTGTCTCCACCCCAATGCTCAGAGCCCAGGTTTGTACCTTTACCAGGATGGGTGTCCTCAGGCAGGCCTGACACCCCCTGCCCCCGCCAGACCCCTCTAAGGCCCCTGCAAGCCAAATCGCTGTAGCCCTAGCCACGTGAGGTGCTGATGTCTGGGTTTCATCAAAGAGAAGGAGCCTGTCTTGAGGCCTCAGCCAGGGGCCTGCTATGAGTCATGTTTTGTGAAAGCTGAGCCATAAAGCAGGCGCCTGGAGACTGGGCCTGCTCCAGCAGCTTCTGGCTCCCAACCCCTGGAGATTGTCAGTGGGAGGGAGAGAAAAGGTGCTGCAAAAGTTAGGTAGGATCAAGGGGCTGGCCAGACTGTGTCCAGGAGGTGGCTGGATCAGCTGATGCCTGTGCTATGGTCTCTGGCTCCCCAGAGGGCCACAGAGGGCTGGGCTGTCTGTGGTCTCTTAGCTAAGTCAGCCTTGCCCTCAGCCTCCATCTCACTCTCCCCCCCACCCCCTCCCCATGCCTCCATCTCACTCTCCCCCCCACTCCCTCCCCATGCCTCCATCTCTCCACCCCCTCCCCATGCCTCCATCTCACTCTCCTCCCAACCCCCTCCCCATGCCTTCCTCAGCAGTCTTCCACTGGTGTCCACATCTCGTTTGGAGGAGGGGGATGTGAGTGCCCCCCCATAGCCTTTAGAGCTGGCCCTTCCTGACCTATGGGGAGGGGCCTGGGGATAGGACTTGGATGCAAAGAGCTGCTTCAGGGTGGGTGTGCCTTGACTTCAGCCGTTTGCTGACCAGCATGGGCACCTTGAGGGGTATGGCCACACCTTCCGACCAGTGCTCATGCTAGCAGCCCCTGCGTACTTTCCTTTCCATGAACTCCTGGGAGTAGGTGCCTCTGCACCCCCTTATAGGCAGGGACTCCAGGAAGCCTTGTCCCTCACAGCGGTCCCTGAGTCCCTCCCTGCCCAGCTAGGGTGGTTTAGCTCTCACACTGGGACCCAGCCTTGGGTAGTGCTGGGCAAGGGGTGTGGGGTAGGATGAGGTGAGGTGGGGTCTGGAGTGGCAGGTCCCAAATAGGGCAGTGGTACGAAGAGCCCCTGAACTGATGTCAAAGCAGAGGATGCGACTCTGCCCGAGGTGGCCCTCCGGCGGCTGCCGTGCCCCCAGCTTCTACGGGAGTGTAGCCTGGGTTGCAGTGCAGGGTCCTTCTTGCTTTGACCTTCACGATGTGCAGTCATGCAGGTGACAGTGTTGGCCTCTCTTGCCCATGGTTTGCTGGATGCTGCTTGTACAAATGGGTGAGAAACGATCGAGAATGCTTTCTTATAATAGGGCTCCTTTGAGCTTTGCAAACACACGGACTCAGGCAGGTACTGGGCAAATGCTTAAGGCACCGTTTGAGGCTTGAGGGGGTTCTGGGGTACAGAAGCCACCACTGCCAAAGAACTTGAGACTCAGGGCTCTTCCTGGGTGGGGGCCCTGTGCTCCCTAACCTTGGCTCTGCCTGGCGCGTGCTGGTGCTGCTGCGGCCCTGTTAAGGAGTCTACCATGCGTCGTAGATTACTTTTATTTTCCATGATGACACCTCACTAGGAAGAAGCTGTCCCTGGGGCCTCTTAAAAGACAGCTCCTATTAAAGATGAGAGGGCTTACCAAAACGCCAGGCCCAGAGGTGGGGGTGCTATAGAGGGCCCCAGGCTCTGGGCCCTTTCACATTCGGAGAGACAGCCAGGGTCACCCAGGTGTGTGTTACACAGGTGCTATCCTAAGGTCCCCGTGCCAGAGTTATGGGTTGGGACTTTGTAGCCCTGGCTGCCCACAGACAGGATGTGAGCCCTAGACTTGCTCAGAGGACTCTGAAGGGGCAGGTGTGTTGGAGGGCACTTGGGGACACCGGTGGGGAGGGCTGGGGGCTGCAGGGAAGCAGGACAGAGAGCTGACCTTGGGGATGTGTCCCTGGAGTATGATTACCTTGAAGAAAGGTGTGAAGGTGTGAGGGTCTATACTGTGTGTGTCCATGCCTGTCCATGTACCTGTGTCAGGCGCCCTGAGAGTCCACTAGTGACCAAACGTGTTAGAACCCCCTCCATGGTGTGCTGAGTTCCAGGTGTGGGCTCAGTCCTGGGTCTTCCAGGCCAGTATACAGTGAGAGGTGAGGCAGTCTTTGTCTTGGGGACTGGGGTACAGTTGTTATGGGGGTAGCATCAGTTGAGCTCCTCTGTATGCAAGTGCTGTGCGAGTACCCTTGCCCTGAATATATTAGTTCTTTAGGGCCATATACAAGGGCCTCTAGGGTCATATCGTTCCATTTTAGAGATGAAAAAACTGAAGCACAAAGATGCTAAGCCAACATACATACCCTGGTCCTGAAGCTGCACTCTTGCTGTCCTATCCTTTCAAAGCCTCTGCAGGGTTAAGACGGTGCCTTCAGGACCCAGCACAGGGCCGAGAGCAGTCCTGTGTCCATCTGTCCTGGCCATGGCCCCAGCCTGGGATCCCACTTGGAGAAATGGAGTTCAGGCTGTACAGCCACAAGAATTTCTGGCTACCTTTTCGGAGCACCTCCCCACACGGCTGACGGAGTTTGAGGGTGGGACAGCCTGGTGTGTGCCCAGACACGGTGGTAGCTGATGGTATACACTGAGCACTCTGCCTCTCCTCCCCAGGGCTGCCCAGAAGCTCAGCCTGGCCTCCAAACGCAAGAAGCACCACCCGCCACCTGCGCCTACCACCCGAGGCACATCCACCTATCCCACGGACTTCAGTGGCACCCTGCAGCTGTGGCCGCCCCCGGTGCCCCCCTGCCTGTTCAGGGTTGCCTCCAAGGCCAAGGAAAATCCCAGCAGCTTTGGAAAGGTAAACCCAGCCTGAGGTCAGGTGGTCTGGTTGTGGCAAGACCGGGGCTATCTGATAAGGTGTGGGAGATACAGTGCCCCACCTCCTTCTCAAAACTGTGCCCAAGAGGGTACAAGGGACCTGTGGAACTGGGGCCATGGGAAATGGTGGGAGCAGCCTGTCCTCAGGTCTTAGGGACATGTGCTAGGATAGCCATGTGGTAGGGCTTATGAGACTGAGGGCAGGGGCTGATCTGAGAGCTCCCTTCTTGCCTTGTCCCCACCGGGCACTGCCTTGAAGTGGGGCTAGGTGAGTCAGGGTGTCCAGGCAGCCCAGCTCAGATGGGTTTCAGCTGGGAAAACTGAGGCCTGGAGAGGGTGGGCCCTGTGGGCGATGGAACAGGCTGGCTGGCTCCAGACCTTCTCCCAGGAGTTCTGACTGAGTAACTGTGGTTGCCGGCCCTCTGAGAGGGGAGAAGCCCCTGCCCCCCAGCCCCAATGGGGTACTCCTGTGCCAGGATTGTGCAGGATCTGTAGAGGTGAAGTGGGCCCTATGCCCTTAGGGAGGAGAGCTAACTCTTACAACCACTGGGGGGTTGCTGGACTCTGGCCAGTGTTTTCCCCTGACCCTCTGCCCGCTCTAGGGTGGTACCCCTTTCCAGGACCCTGAGAGTGATGGGGTTGGGGCTCTCTCAGTCCTGCCTAGTGCAGATACCGCCTCACTTGGCACTAACCCTGCAGGCTTGCTCCTGAGAAGATGGTCAGGCCAGGCTAGGGGGAGTGGCCTCCCCAGGGACAGGGACTAGAGAGGAAGCCCATGTGTTTTTAGACCTTCCTTCTAGAAGGCAGATCTCCTGTGGTGGATCCCCAGAGGAAGGAAGCATCCTCCAGACAGGACTGCCCAAAGTGGGCAGTTGTAGGCAGGTGGGAGAGCCTGGGGCTCCTTCAGGCCCAGCTGACTGTGCACCCTCTTAACATTAACATTGTGGGTGGCTTTCACTCTGGGACTGCCTCCAGCAGGGTGAGTCTGAACATCAGTCTTTTGCTCTTGGCTCCATGTGTATTGTGATTAGCCAGGCAACCCAGCTGTCTTGATGCTGTTGGGCCATTCTGTAAAGTCTGTCCTAGAGTCGCTGATTCTGTGCTACTGCCCAGCCTAGAGTGGGGGGAGGGGGACAAAGGCAGCCCATCTCCTTTTAGGACTGTCAGTGTACTCAGTGACAGGTAACCCCACCTGCCTCTGTGCCCTGCTCTGCTGGGAGCTGGGAGGTGGGAGTGCTCCTGACCCCCACTTCCTGTCCTGTCAGGCTTTGGCTGCCCCCACCTTGCACATGGGCAGTGCTTGGTATGTAAAGCTGGTGGTATCAGCCCTGTCTAGTGAGAGAGAGAGGGAGGTTGGGCCCGGGCCTGTGTGTCTTAGGCTCCCCAATACCCTCTCCTGGGACAGGCAGGTGAGTCTCACTGGCCAGGTTGCCACTGCCCTGGCTGTGTGGGGTGTACCCCACAGGGCTGGGCTGAGGCTTGAGGAAGAATGGCTGGAGGTCTAGGACCAGCCTGGCCACTTAGCTCATCTGTCCACCAGGCTTCTCCTCAGAGGTTGTGGTGGGTGTGGGGACAGTTGTCTGTCTCGTGACAGTGGGATAGGGAGTTACAGACTCCTTTCGGGGACATTGTGTCTTGGGACTGCAGTTCTGTTTGGGGGGCCTGCCAAGTCTCTGCCTCCTCTTGTAGCCAGCCCCCCACCAAGTGTTCCTGCAAAGAGAGAGGCCTTCAGCCATCTTTCTGGTGACCCTAGACCATCCAGCACTTCCCCACAGACCAGGTGCCCTGGCCTGTTAGCCACCCCGAGTCCCCTGCGCCCCTGTGCCCCTCCCAGGCACTCTGTTATTAGCACTAACGTCATATCCTCAGAAGTGCCTCCTGAAAGGCGTTTAATATTGTCACAGAAAAGAAGTTAGATTACATTCAGTTTCTGACATTAATGTGCACTTAAGATAATTCATCATATCGTGGTATTAAAAAAGACATCTCTGGTGGTGGGTGCTCAGTGGTGTCCCTCCCTGTCTCCAGCCTGGGCCACCTCTGGGGAGCTGGAAGCCCTGTTTTTATGCAAAATGTGCCTCCCCTCCCCCGCAGCTCTCCTGCAGCTTTGTGACGTCTGCACATTTGGGGGACGAGGATGCTCTTGTCTCCTGAGAGACCCTGTCATTTCCCTGAGGTAATGACAGGTTCTCTCAGCAGACAATGGACCGGTGGGGGGCGGGCAGTGAGGGGCAGGCTGGAAGGGCGCCCTGCTCAATCCCCTCCCTACCCGGGGACTCAGGATTAGTGTCTCTACTCAAGAGGCACCAGGGTACGGCAGAGCCAGATAGCTGCTTCCCTAGGCCTCTCCTCCCCGCCAGGCATCCTCTCACATCTCCAGAACCCATTTGGCTCCTGAAGCGGTGAGGAGCTCATGCTGGAAAAGAAACTGCCAAAAATTACCGGGAAGTGCACATTTTCGTCTGCACTGCAGCAGCGTTTGAAATGAAATAGTTTTGTTCATGTCTCTGGAGAATAAAAGAATCGATTCTTGCCTGATGGAGCCCAGGTTCTGACTAGTACAATAACCAAGTGTCCCTTCCCTCCTCCCTACTCCCCGAACGTGGGACACTTGACTCCACAGGAGACTGCATTTCAATGTGCCACGTGTCCACGGGGACAGAGCCCACAGTGCTTGTTTGAAACACTCCCCCCAAACCAATTTTGCAACGTTATGTGTCTGTCACTTACAATTAAATCTTTGAAAAATATTGGTTCTGAAATGAGTCTCTGGTAATTTGATTTATACCAAGTCAGAGATTTCATTGGAGAATGGACTCTGTGGCCTCCAGGAAAGGGAGGCCCTAACTCGGGGGCTCTTGAGGAAATAGCCTGCTTTACACCTGCCTCCAGACTCCCTCGCCTGCATCACTGCATCTGTGTGTGTATGTGTGTAGGGGGGACTCTGTTGTCCATGCAGGTTTGGGGTCCTGCAGTGCAGCTTGCTCTGGCGTCTTGGGCCCCCCTTGTGTTTTCTCTGAGGGTTTCCCTGCTGGTTCAGGGCCTTCCTGATGCTGGCACAGGCAGAGGGCACACTGGGATCTGCTTTGGGTTCTAGAAACACGCTCTGGTCCTGCCATGACCCAGGCCGACCAGTCACTAGCAGTGCTCTAGGAGCTCGTGCCCACCCGTCCCCTCCTCCACCCTTCCCAGCCTCAGTTTCCCCACACTAGGGCATAAGAGATAAGATTTCAGAATTCCCCTCTTTTCTTGGAGAGGATTCTTATTCTCATGAGACGTTAATCCCACCCTGGCTCTGCCCCTTCGGGAAGTTTTGAGAGCCTGGCTTCCTGGGCTGGCTCCGGGGAGAAGCAGCAAGCCTGGAGTTTCCCCACACAGTCCCTCGGGCCTCTGAGGCCCTTCACCCTTCCGTGGGTTCATTCACTTGTTCATCCCATAGGTGTGGCCGCCTTATTCCTTGGGTGCAAGGGCATCTAAGGACCTTGGCCTAGGGCTGTGACTAGCAGAAGATGAGAGGCCCCAGAAGGAGAAATGCCTGGGCGGGCAAGGGGTGCTCTCCTGCTTCCCTGCCTCGCCCTGTCCCTGGCTTCGTTTTCTGTCTGCCCCGCTGACCTCATGTGGGATCTGCTCCAGCGGCATTCTGGCCGGCCGTGTCGGTGCCCATGCCGAGGCCTGGTCCGCTGTCCTGACTCGTGCTTGCTTTTCCTGCCCTGTAATTAGCTCCCAGCTGGGTTGAGGGTGGTGCTCAGATGCCTGTTTCTGCCCGCCTCTAGGTGAAGGTTATGCTGCGCATCTGGCCGACTCAAGGAGCCCAGCGCTCGGCTGAGTCCACATCCTTCCTGAAGGTGGATGCTCGGAAGAAGCAGGTGACCCTCTATGACCCGGTTTCTAGGCTCCCAGGCTGTGCAGGCCTCAGGCACGCCCCTACAGCACCAGTTCCTAAGATGTTTGCCTTCGACGCCATCTTCCCCCCTGACTCTGAGCAGGTACGGCGGGGTGGAGCGCCTGGGATCTGATCTGAGCTGTTTCTGTAGAGCCAGAGTCTAGCTGCCTTGTTACCCTTCTGGGTCTGCCTCCCTATCAACCCAGCTTGATGTCTCCTCAGCTTCTGTCTAGTTCTCCAGACCAAGTACTGAGAGAACACTGAGCTTTTCAAGTGCCTACCTCCTAGGAAACTTCCTTAACAGTGCTGTACCACCCTGGATTCCAGTGACACCGGGTACCCGAATAGCACACTACTATGGTCGCTATGACCATAATTTCTTGTGCTGTGTGGTTTTTTCTGTACTTGGTGGGGCATCTGGACATATGTGCCCGGCCAGCACATCCTGTGTGTGTTGCCTGTATCCTGTCTGCTGACTTGTGTGTCCTGTGCCTTCTGTATGAACATGAGAGAGTTCTGTGTTCCTGACCTATGTCTGTCAGCTCAGCTGTCTCATGGGTTTGCTGCCTACATGTGACAAGGACAGACAGGCCTTGAGTTTGTAGATGTGGCAGAAGGTAATGCCACAGCCCTTTGATGCTGGCACCTGCCTGATCCCTACTGGGTTCTTCCCCAGGCGGAGATCTGCTCAGGGGCTGTGACTGATGTGCTGCAGTCTGTGGTTGGTGGGGCTGATGGCTGCATTTTTTCCTTCGGCCACGTGAACCTTGGTAAGTGCTCTGTCACCTCTGTGTACCCTTGATGCCTTCTTCTAACTGCTGCTGCCCCTGTCCCCAATCTTCGTTGCTGCTCTCATGGATCCTGGTCCTGGGTGAGGGAGGAGGTGGTCTTCTGTGTAGGTGTGGGGGTAAGGATCTCACTTGGAAGCTGAGGTGGGCCAAGCCAGAAAGCAGAGGGCTGGGAGTGGCTGGAGGAGGGTCCCAGGCCTCCAAGATTGGCCCTGAGGACCCTGGGCAGGTTTCCATATCTGACAGGGCTCTTGAGGGTGTGTTGTGGGAGTATGGGTGGTTCTTACATGCTCCTGTCCCCCAGGTAAGTCGTATACCATGATCGGGAAGGACAGCTCACCCCAGAGCCTGGGCATTGTGCCCTGTGCCATCTCCTGGCTCTTCAGGCTCATCGATGAGCGCAAGGAGAGGACAGGTACACGTTTTTCTGTACGTGTGTCTGCCGTGGAGGTGTGTGGCCGTGACCAGAGTCTGCGGGACCTGCTAACTGAGGTGGCCTCGGGCAGCCTTCAAGACACCCACTCTCCGGGCATGTACCTGCGGGAAGATCCTGTGTGTGGGGCACAGGTGCGCCAATCAAAGCCAGTGACCTTTCTGGGGCTATGGAGGTGGGGAGCACTGTGTTTAGGTCTGAGCCACTGAAGGCATGTGGGCCTCTGCCTCCTTCTCTTACAGCTACAGAACCAGAGTGAGCTGCGGGCGCCCACAGCAGGGAAAGCTGCCTTCTACCTGGACGCAGCCCTAGCTGCCCGCAGCACCAGCCACCCTGGCTGTGGGGAGGATGCCCAACGTAGCTCCCACATGCTCTTCACGCTCCATGTATACCAGTACCGTGTGGAGAAGTGCAGTCAGGGAGGAAGTAAGTGCCCAGGAGGCCCTGCCCACAGAGTTGCTTGCCCCCAGGTTGCCTCATAGGCATCTCTGCCTGCCTGCGTGGGCTGTGGGACAGGATCTGAGTACCCAGACCCCAGCACCTACTTGTATTATGCTTTCAGTGTCTGGAGGCCGCAGCCGCCTGCACCTCATCGACCTGGGCGGCTGTGAGGCAGCGCTCAACAGGAGCGGGGAGTCTGCCGGGGGACCCCTGTGTCTTTCTCTGTCAGCTTTGGGCAGTGTCATCTTGGCCCTGGTCAACGGGGCTAAGCATGTGCCCTACAGGTGGGTGTGGACGTGTGGGCAGGCCACCAGTGGGGTGGCCTCTAAGAAGCCGGCCATGCTGATGTCCAGCATATCTGAGGACCTCAGTGTAGGGGTGATGGTGGTTTCTGGAGCTTGGGGTGCAGGGACAGGTGGATGCAGATACCAAGGCCAACCCAGAGCTCTAGACATGGCCCCCAGCCCATGGAGAAGCCTGCCTCCCCTTTACCAGCCCCGTGGTTCACGCTTCACTTGGCCTCCCACCTTGATGGGCCCTCCCTGTAGCCTCTGAGCACCTCCTTGATTTGTAGGGACCACAGACTCACCATGCTGCTGCGGGAGTCCCTGGCCACTGCCAACTGCCGTACCACCATGATTGCACACATCTCAGACTCGCCGGCCCACCACGCAGAAACACTCGGCACTGTGCAGCTGGCTGCCCGCATTCACCGCCTGCGCAGGAAGAAGGTCAAGGTGAGTTCTAGTTCCTGTTGCCCACTGAGGGGCTCCTGGCTCCCACATTCTCTATAGGCTCTGTAAGATATCAGAGAGAGGGGGCAGTATGTATGCTCAGGTAGGGGTGGGTCTCCTGTGCTTCCAGAAAAGAGCCCAGCCCAAATCCCTGATACACTAGGTAGAGTTGGAGCTCCTTACAATAGGGTTTGTGTTGTAAGGGGACATGGACATCATCCCTAGTAGGGAACTTCACGGGACCATGGTTTCCATGGTCCTATGCTGCTGAGAGTGAGGGGTCCAGGGAAGAGGAGGTGAGGTGGGGACCAGAGCCCAGTGCAGACAGAGGCAGAGGCTCATGGGTTTTGCTTTGCTGCCCCCAGTATGCGTCCAGCTCCTCTGGAGGGGAGAGCTCCTGTGAGGAGGGCCGGGCCCGACGCCCCCCCCACCTGCGGCCCTTCCACTCACGGACCGTGGCCCTGGATCCTGACCGCTCGGCTTCTGGCCTGCCTGGTGACCCAGACTACTCATCCAGTAGCGAACAGTCGTGTGACACAGTCATCTATGTGGGCCCTGGTGGTACAGCGCTGTCAGACCGTGAGCTCACTGACAACGAGGGCCCCCCTGACTTTGTGCCCATCATCCCTGCACTGAACCGCCGCAGGCCCTCTGAGGGCCCCCGGGATGCCGACCACTTCCGTTGCAGCACTTTTGCGGAACTGCAGGAACGTCTGGAGTGCATTGATGGCAGTGAGGGATGCCCTGGACCCCAGGGTGGCTCTGATGGAAGTCAAGCCAGCCCTGCCCGAGGGGTCAGAAAGCCCTCCCTACCTGAGGCCACATCTCCCAGGAAGGCTGTGGGTCCCCCAATGGCCACCAGCACCCCTCGTGGTAGCCCTGGGCAAGATACTCAACGGGGCACCCCTGAGCTCTGTAAAACTGGTGCCCAGGGTGACCAGAGAGTGGATGGTACCCGGCCTGAGTCACCAGCCCCAGACAAGACCATGGCAGGTGGGGGCAGGAGACCACTGCCCAGCCCGGCCCCTCCACCACTTCGGCAGCCTGAAGCTCGAGGTGCCTCCGTGGAACCTGGGGGAGAGGGCCCTGACAGTGTGGTGCGGACACCCCCTGTGGGCATGAGTGGGCAGGTGGCCCTGTCCCCACTGCTCCCGGACACAGCTTTTCCTTGTCCGTCTGCTCATGGACGCCATCTGGAGCGCGGCCTGCTGACCACCACAGTGACCCTTCAGCAACCAGTAGAGCTAAACGGCGAGGACGAGCTGGTGTTCACAGTGGTAGAAGAACTGCCCCTAGGGGGGCTTGCAGGGGCTGCACGGCCCTCCAGCCTAGCCAGCTTGGGCAGTGACTGCTCCCTGCAGGCCCTGGCCTCAGGCTCAAGGCCAGTCAGCATCATCAGTAGTATCAACGATGAATTTGATGCCTACACCTCACAGGTGTCCGATAGCTCAGGAGGCCCTGGGGAGCCCCTAGAGGGAGCAGCCTGGGCTGGTAGCAGTCCTGCCTCATCCATTGGCTCATGGTTGAGTGAGGTTGGTGTCTGCTTGGCTGAAAGTCACAGTCCTACGCCACAGCCTCCCTTCGGCCCTGACTCTTCAGCAGGGCCTGGTCCACCAGAGTTCCCTATCCCAGACAGCTCCCTGGAGGACAGCAGCTTCAGGTCCTCAGAGCATAGAAGACCAGAGAATCCTGGCTCAGCCCGGAGTCCCCATCTCGGGGAGGCAGTTGCAGCGGCCCCAGCCCAACCTGGCAGAGAGCCCTGGGCTGGGTTCTTACATGAGGCAGCCTCAGCCCAGACCATCCACTCCAGTCTCCCACGGAAACCCAGGACTACCTCAACAGCCAGCCGTGCTCGCCACATCCGGGGTCCATGCAGTCCTGGAGGCCTATTTGAGGATCCCTGGCTGCTCCGGGCAGAGGACAGTGACATGCCCCAGATGACCTCTGTAGGTGGGGCCCCCGGCCCAACCCCAGGCTCCCCTCGGCTGCCTGAGACCCAGATGATGCTGGCTTGTGCCCAGAGAGTGGTGGACGGATGTGAGGTGGCAACCAGAGTGGCCCGTAGGCCCGAGGCTGTGGCTCGGATCCCACCACTGCGGAGGGGAGCCACCACGCTAGGAGTGACCACACCTGCTGCATCTTACGGAGACACACCAGTGGAGGCAGTGGTCTATTCGGGAAGCCTGAAGGCCACCTCCAACAGCAAGAAGAGTGTGGCTTCCAAGGGGGCCTTTTTCCCAAGGTCTAGTGGTGCAGCCCCGCCAACCCCTCCTGTGCGCAAGTCTAGCCTGGAACAGAGCATGGCCTTGACCCCCACTCAGGCCCTGGGGCTGACCCGGACAGGGACTGCCTCTGTTTTCCGAGAAGAGGAGGCCAGGCCCAGTGGCCGGGCTGACCACTCAGGTCCCAAGGCCACATCTAGCCTGAAGGCCAGGGCTGGGAAGATGGAGCTGACACACCGTCCCACTGGCCACACGTCCTTGGAGCGGTACGAGGGCCTGGCACATGGCAGTGGCAAGGTCAGAGAAGTCCCAGGGCGGCCACCCCGGGCTGTGCCCAGGTTGGGTGTGCCACCCACCAGCCCCCCACCTGGACCAGCTCCTGCCTGTAGGGGCAGCCCAGCCAAGGGTGTGGGAGCATCGAAGCTCCCAGCTGGTGGGGCCAAGGGCCGTAGTTTAGGGGCCAGTACCTCTCGAGCTCTGGGTGCTTCAGTGAAGCCTTCGGCCCCTGTGGTAGGCAAGACCCCTGCTGGCCCTGTGCCAGGTCCCCGGACAGCTCCACGGTCTGTGCCTGGCGTTGGAGCCAAAGCTGGCCGGGGCACCATCATGGGCACCAAGCAAGCGCTCCGGGCTGCCCACAGTCGTGTCCATGAGCTGGCAGCCAGTGGAGCTCCTGGCAGAGGTGGCCCCTCGTGGGTCTCAGCAGACTCCGACAGCGGCAACGACAGTGGTGTGAACCTAGCTGAGGAGCGGCCACCCATGAGCCCCGCCCTGCCCTCCCCCTACAGCAAGGTGACCGCACCAAGAAGGCCTCAGCGCTACAGCAGCGGCCATGGCAGCGACAACAGCAGTGTGTTGAGTGGGGAACTTCCACCCGCCATGGGCCGCACAGCTCTCTTTTACCACAGCGGCGGCAGCAGCGGCTACGAGAGCATGATCCGGGACAGTGAGGCCACAGGCAGTGCCTCTTCAGCCCCGGACTCCATGAGTGAGAGCGGGGCTGCCTCCCCGGGTGCCCGTTCCCGCAGCCTCAAGTCCCCAAAGAAGAGGGCCACAGGTGAGCAGTGGTGTGAGCCTCTCTGGGCATACCGCTTCGCAGTTTATAGACCTGGGACATGATTGACAGTGAAGTTGGCCACCCCAGGGTCCTGTGTGTCCCGACCCTCCCAGCAGCTGGATCTTGTAACCTCATGCCTGGGGCGCCCCAGCCATATCTGTGGGTGCCCCTTCCTGGTCTCCAGGCCATGAGCCTGGCCCCTCTACTCTCGTACCTTACCCTGTGTGATCTCTGGCAGTCTTTACAGATACCAGGTGTGCGTAGTCCTTGGCAGTTTATAAGCATGCAGGAGATTCTCAGTGGATCCGTATAGCCTCTACAGTTTATAAACTTAGAGAGACCTGACGCTCGTGATGTTCAGATTATGGCATACACGATGTCCTTTGACACCTCATTATAAACAGACTTGGGGCTTTGCTGCATGCATAGGTGCATAGCCCTCTACAGTTTATAACTACTCCCAGTGTGTTGTCCTCTAGCCCCTACACTGCCCCAGAAGCTGGTCCTCAACCCTGTCAGAGTTAGCTAGGCAAGGACTTGGGTGCAAGCTAGACCTTGGGCTCAGGGCCACTCTCCCTACCCAGTGTCCCAGCTGTCCTGGACCCTGTGCCAGTGTTCTCTGGGCCCCTCCCTATCGGGAGCGGAAAGGGTATGAGTTGGGCTGCTGCCCTGTGAGCAGTTGATGTGGCTGTGTAGATGTGTCTAGAGCTTGGAGTTTTCTTGGCTCTGTTTACCAGGTACCTGGCTCTTTGTTCTAGGCCTGCAACGGCGGCGGCTGATCCCGGCTCCGCTACCTGATGCTGCTGCCTTGGGCCGCAAACCCAGCCTTCCTGGGCAATGGGTGGACCTGCCCCCACCCCTGACTGGCTCTCTGAAGGAGCCCTTTGAGATCAAGGTATACGAGATTGATGATGTGGAACGCCTTCAGCGGCACCGCCCACCCCTGCGGGAGGACACAGCTCAGGTCAGGGAGGCTGCGGTCAGAGGCTGGGAACACTGGGGTGGCCGGGAGGGCTATCTGATGGGCTTTATGGACCTGCAGATGTGACCAGGTAGTCCCTGACTTCACCTTCTCTTGTCCACAGCCCTCTCAGGATGTGGAGAAGGTAGGAACCAGCCTGGACCATCTCTGAGCTTGTGGCGGCCCTTGGTATCCCTGGGCAGGGATGGGTGACTGGAGGGGCTCCTGAGACACCACTGCTGTCTCCATGGAGCCGGAACTCCTGGCATGGACCCTCTTAAGTCTCCCCTTCTCACCTTGGAGGATTGGCTGGGTGTCTATGCAGGCCTAGTAGATGAAGGGGGAGGGGCATAGCTAAAGCCAGCAGGAATGGGAGCAAGTCCCTGCCTTCTGTATCTGAACCTACCCTGCTTGTCCCCCACCACCAGGGCCCTGTGTGCATCCGCTCTAAGCTGCGACTGGCAGAGCGCAGGCAGCAGCGACTGCTGGAGGTGCAGGCCAAGCATGACCGTCTCTGTGAGGAACTGGCTGAGACCCAGGGCCGGCTAATGGTGGAGCCCGGGCGCTGGCTGGAGCAGTGTGAGTGCCCTGTTCTCTCTGCAGCTGAACTGTGGGAAACATGGCAGGTTCCGTCAGGACCTGGGATCCAGGATCCTGCTCCCTAATCTGCCCCTAGGCTGTCCCGAATGTCCACAGCTGCTCTCATGCAACAGATGGTGTGTGTGGTGGGGTCTGCTGGGCCAGTGCCTCTCATTAAGGACTTCGGGGAGCCTGGCTGCTGCTCCGGCCCCTGACTTGACCCTATCTCGTCCCTCTCCAGTTGAGGTGGACCCAGAACTGGAGCCCGAATCGGCTGAGTACCTGGCGGCCATGGAACGAGCCACGGCTGCCCTGGAGCAGTGTGTGAACCTGTGCAAGGCCCATGTCATGATGGTCACCTGCTTTGACATTGGTGTTGCTGCCACTACTGCTGTGCCTGGGCCGCAAGAGGTGGATGTTTGAGGCCAAGTGCTGGACCTGGGCGGGGACACGCAGGGAGTGTGAAGACAGGATGTGGGATGGAGTGAGGATGTGGAGGGGGTTGGAGGGTTGAGGACGCAGAGGGGGTCTGTGCGGGACCAGGGGGGTCTCGAAGAGAAGATGGAGCATGGGAAAGGGGAGGGAGGGCCAGGCCGGTGGACAGAGAGAGCACAGAGACCGAAAGACCGTCACCACCCAGACAGCCACGCAAGTGCCTTTAACCTCGAGTAGGCCATTTCTCCTTTTCTAATTTGGTGCTACAGACTCAAGACAGAGACCAGCAGAGTCTCAGCCTGGGCGGCTCCAGCTGCCCTAGGCAGGCTAAGCCGGTTGTTTGTTTCTGATTTTGCCTTCCTTACAGCCAAGCAGTTTTGTGTAGCAGGGCAGACCTGTGCTGGCCAGCTGCCTTTTAGGACTGGGCTGCTTTCCCTTTGTGAGCAGCTCTCTCTTAGAGGCCACAATAGTGGTTGCTGCCCACTGCAGCAATCCACCGAGTGGGGACAGTCCCCTCCCTTCCCTGAGGGCCCCACTCTGTTAATGAGGACACCAAGGGCTACAGGCAAGGGCGGGGTCACAAGCACACAATGCTTTCTTCAACGGCAGGAATTCATACCAAAACCACAAGCAAAAACAAAAAAAAAAACAAAAACAAAAAAGCCACACACACAATGGGACAAACCACTGCCCAAAAAGCCGGGTGCGGGTTTTTGTAAAAGTTCTGTTAGTGTCGTATTTTTGTATCATTTTGCTTATAAACATGGAATTTGCAGTGGTTTGAAGACAAATGATCTACATTTTTATGGTTTTCTACTGAAGGTGTTTCTAGGGCCTTGGCATCTGTCTTTTCAAATGCAGATGAGGGATGAGCCTGCCAGCCTGTGATGTGGCCCACATGCAGGCTCATGCTTTCTGTCCTGAACGTGGAGTATTTTATAAGCGTCCAGACCTTTGTACAAATGTACAGATAACATCTTGCTACAGTTTTTATTTGTGAATAAAAGATGCATTGATTGTTCACGTGGCTCTGAGTTCATCGGGTGCCCCTGATGCACTGACATTCCAGGGTGTTGGGGGCTGAGGGAGCAGCAGAGTGTCCGGGAGGCATCCACGTGTCTGAAGGGTTTTTAGGGAGTTGTGCTGAGAACCTGCTGTCTGCTCACAAGGCGGCGAGAGGCCAGCTAGGGTTTAAACGCATGCTTCCTCTCTAACCACACAAGGCCCTTTGTGGCCCCACCAAGATCCTGGGTCCCGAGGGTAAAGTGTGGAGCTAGTCTTGGGAGCAGGGCTGGTGAGAAGCGGGCTTTGGCATGGCTGCCAGCACCAACTGCGGTATAGTACCCGGGGAAATCGCAACCCAGAAAGGCTTGGTTTCTTCCCTTTGTTCCTTGCCTGCCTTCCAGAACCTGGGTACATGGGAGCCCCCACGGCGGGCACGCTCCTCCCGTGACGAGGCAGTCCCGGCTCTGTCTTGGCTGTTCTCTGGA